TTGCTGTGGGTAACCAAGTGAAGCGCAGATCCCCCTCTCTTGGATCTCCTTGCCACTCGTGCTGGTTTGGGCCTTCTCTGTTCCTGCCAGTGCCGCCAACCTTCTTTGGTAGGAAGGGTACTAACAGCTACTCCCTTCTCCTCTGTCAAATTCCTACTCAGGAAAGCATCGGACATCAGGTGTATGTGTCAACTTCCTGGAATTCTGGGCTCTAGGCTTTCTCTCCCAGGGCTGCTTGCTATCCTACAGGAGAGGTTTCATGATCGAGGTCAGGGAAAGGTGAACTACAGCTGAAACACACTCATCTGAATCACCTTGGAGCTGCCTTCCTTATATGTCCAGTTCATCCCTTTTGAATGTTCTTCATTATGAAAGTATTTAGAATTGAAGGGAGAAACAGAGAACAAGATAAGAGACCACCATGAACTATGACTCAGCTATATAAAATGTTAATATTTTACCATATTTGCTTTATTCCTTTAGAGGCATAAAGTATTACAGTTGAGCCTTGTGAATCTCCCTAGCCCCATCCACTTGCTTACCACTCCTGGGCAGGTTTTTATATTTTAATATCACATGTGTGTTTCCATAAACAATTAATAATCTTGTTTTGCTTATTCTTAAACTTAAAATACACGATCTCATTTTGCTTGTATCTATGTTGGGGATTCCCAAGACCATCTCCAGGTTTAGTGATTCCACAGGGGACTCACAGCACTTGGCATACAGTGGGACTCACAGCTCTGATTGATCATAGCGAAGGATATGGAGCAGAATCAGCAATGGGAAAAGGCTCATGGGAAGTCAGAGGGAAGCTGGGTGCAAGCTTCCAAAGCCCTCTCCCAACAGAGTCACATAGAATGTTCTTAATCACTTCAGGAACACATTGTGACAACATGCGAGAAGTGTGGTCCACTGGTGAAGCTCCTTGGAAACTCAGGGCGTAGGGTTTTCCTTGGGGGCTGGTCACATAGGCACCGTGTCTTCCTGGCACCAAAACTTTGGACTCCCAAAAGGAAAGCATGTGCTCAGCATAAATCCCATTGTTTGCACAAATAATTTATTCACATTGAGCCTCTTTTAGCATTTAGAGAATGGTGGGACCCCCCTGAAAACCTAAGTTCCCAGATGCCAGCTAAGGGCCCACCTTGCAAACAGGCCTTTTTTTTTTTTTTTTTTATCCTCACCCTAGGATATTTTTCCATTTTTTTGTACAGATAGAGTGGGAGGGAGAGAGAGGAAGGGAGAGACAGACAGAAACATCGACGTGAAGGGACACATCGAGTGGCTGCCACCCGCAAGACCAACCAGGGCCGGGGACAAACTGCAACCGAAGTACGTGCCCTTAGCAGGAACCGAACCCGGGTCTCTCCAGACCGCAGGCCGACGCTCTAACCGCTGAGCCAAACTGGCCAGGGCGCAAACAGGCCTTTTTAAGGACAGCTGTCTCTCTCAAATCTATCATGTTATCTTTATTCCTCCAGTACCTATATTGCATCTTTTTACATGAAACATTATGGTTTTAAGATTCATTGATCTGATATATTTAGCTCTGGTTAGTTTATTAAATTTTTACAGGATTCTGTTGATGAACATTTATTCCTTTTTTTTCATGGTTGCCAATAATGCTACAAGTAGCAGTATTCTGTCTCCTTGGACACATACAGATGTCTCTGGATTACAGTGTAGACATATAGTGCTCTCCAAATTGTACCTACCTCACCATCCCAGGCTTGGGAGTGCCTGCTTCTTTACCTCTTTGCCAATGTTTGGCACTATTAGACCAATTTTCACTGACCCAGTTAGAGTGAGGAGAGGTTCCCATCAATTACAGTTCTTGAGGTATACATGTACCCAGGAAGTAAGGATGCCTATAGGTAAAGGAGCTGCTGGAAGTACTGCATACAGGCTCAGAGCCAGGCAGAGAGCCAGGCAGAGGCGAAATCTCCGTTCTAACCAGGCAGGGACTGCGCCTCCCTAACCATGTCCATCTCTAACAAGGGAGTTCCTGAATAACATCAAAAGAGTATCAAAAGAGGTTGCGGATCATAAGCTATAACATTGCTTCATCACAAAATATTGCCAGTTTCTGGGTTAAAAATAATCAGTGTTCTTTTCTGTGATTCACATACTACTCAGAAATCCCTGGCTTCCTAGAATTCCAATAAAAACTCTAAATATCTAAGCAATCATAACGGTACTTTTGTTTTTGGCTAAAAAACGCCAGGAAAAGGGCCAGATGCAAAGGTAGATGTTTTGCAATTCTCAGCAAGGATTTCTAAAGGGGCCCTCTTCTCTGGATTTCCTGTGGCTGGAGGATGGGAATGTGATGTCCATTCACGGGTTTTACAGATGTTACTGAGCATGTGCCGATGCTGTGCTCCTTCTGGGCGGACTCGGTCCAGCAGATGAGGCACTCCCAGTCTAGGGGGGCGAAGGACTCCAATCAGCAGTCCACAAGCTGTCCTGCCTAGGGACCTGCGTAGGAAGCAGAGGAGGCAAGCATGACTGTGATTTGCAGGTGACCTTCCAATTTACAGGAGCTTAAACCAAAAAGCGACTTAATGTGACAATATTGAGGTGTGTTAAGGGCTAAACTGTGTCTCTCTCAATGTCACCCTATATGTCACCCTAACCCCCAGCACCTCAGAATATGATTGTATTTGGAAATAGGATCTTTAGAGAAGTAATTAAGTTAAAACAGGATGGGTCCTAATCCAATATGACTGCTGTCATAATGAAGAGGAGATTAGGGCACAGATAGGTGCAGAAGAGAGGTGGTGTGGAGATACAGGAAGAAGACATTCATCTGTAAGTCAAGGAGAAAACCTTCAGAAGGAACCAATCCTGCTGACATCTTGATGTTGGACTTCCAGCCTCCTAAATTGTGAGCAAACAAGTTTCTGTTGTTGAAGGGTTCTGTCTTTGGTTCTTCATTATGACAGCTCTCAGAAATGAGTGTAGGTTGTACCATTGAGGCACATGAAGACAAGAATAAACTGACCTCAGGAAAGACTTGCAGAGACAGGTGTAGGTACGGAATCAGGAGAAAGATAGAGTCCCTGGTACCCATCAAGCTTGTTTCTTACCCCAGCCTCTTTCTCCTCTCCCCTGTAGACCACACAGTGGAAACATGCCTGTTGAATGCTCCATTTTTTAAAGAGCTTTGATAGATTTACTTACCAAACCTTGTTGATTGCTCACATCATAACTGAACTATGCATTTACAAGTGACTCACTTATTCTCTACCTCCTGGGGAGCATGGACCCCAGCTCTTCATTGGCTCCTCATTTATGGGAATCCAGGGCCACTCCACCCCAGGTATGCCTGAACCCTTGCTTCTGGCCCACCAGTCCTAAACACCCCATGTTTGATAGGATTGATCTTGAGCCACCCAGAGAAAATACTGATATCCTTGACTCAGTTTAAGTTTTAAAATTCTCTAGAGCAGGACTTGGATTGACTCAGTTTGGATTGGGGGTCAGCCACCAGCCAAGGTGGCTGTGCTGGGGTAACCATGCAAATGATTTGGAGGGGCCATTTTGGAGGCAGGGGAAGGGCCAGAAGTAAGGGAAGCTGCTGGGCAGATCACAATGGTCTCTTGAGAGGTGAGGATGACTTCCTGGAGGGAGAGGCATTTTAACTGTGAGCTAAGGACCAGGAAGAATGCACTCAGCATATGTTGTCAAGGAGACTGTTCTCTGTGGCTGGAGTATGAGGTGCACCTGAGGAGTGGGGTAGATGAAGCAGAGCCGAGCACCCCAGGCCTGGCCTGGGTGTTTCATCTTTCTTTTCAGAAGATGATTACAGGACACTGAGTGGGAGAGCAGCACATTCAAGGTCAGATCTCAGTTAGCTCCTTGTATCAAGAGCTGAATCAAACAAGGTGCTGGCTAAAGATCAGATTTATAGCCACATGCAACCTACTAAATCAGACTTTCTGGGGTGGGATCCAGAAATCTAAATTTTTCACAAGCTCTCCGAGCAATTTAGAGGCACACTGGGGATTAAGAATCATTGATCAAGTGTCTGCCGCAGAGTAACTTGGAAGCAGCTGGCAAAGACTGTCCCTGCCCTGACGCTCTTTCGCTCTTTGTTGCTTTAGACCTTTACCTAAATAGAACAATATCTGGGTTATTTTACAAGGCAGGATTATATTTAGATTATATTCCACAGCTATAGGAAGTATGCGTGTGCACGCATGCTTAAGACTGTTTCTGATGAAACCCTTGAACATCTGGTACATGAAAAGAACACTGATTCATGGGGGGGGGGGGGATGAAACAAAAACAACCCCCTCAAATAAAATGAGCAGAATAACAGAGCAGTTTGAATTCACAGGACATTTCAGCAAGGCAAATTTGTAGCCCTCTGACGTTAAAATCAGAAGTGCAAAAACACATTTCAGAGCCCCTTTCTAACTCCTGTAAGAGAGGTAGATAGACAGCTCTCTTGTGGGGTAGGTCTTTTTTTTTATCCTCACCTGAGGACATTTTTCCATTTTTTGTTCAGGTAGAGTGGGAGGGAGAGAGAGGAACAGAGAGAGAGAGAGAAACATCGATGTGAAAGGGACACATCGAGTGGCTGCCACCCGCACAACCAACCAGGGCCGGGGACAAACTGCAACCAAGGTACATGCCCTTAGCGGGAACCAAACCCAGGTCTCTCAGGACCACAGGCCGACGCTCTAACCGCTGAGCCAAACCGGCCAGGGCAGGGGTAGGTCTTTCAGGTGGAATGAGCACACTTCATCTGACTTTGCTGCGATGTAGCACTCTCTGTCAGGTGTCCTGTTTATGTGACAATGCTTGTGTGAAGGCTGTTGAGGGTACAGAGCGAGTCATTCCAGATGCACAACACATTATGTGTTGCTGAGCAATAGATCACCTGTATGGGCTTTGCTTCCTTACAGAGACAGGAGGCACATGCAGCCATAATGTATGTTCTGACCTCGGCTCTCTATAAAGGGGAGGCGATCAGGGCTTGAGCAGTGGCGTAAGGAGGGTCCCGACAGTGGCATCTGGATGATGTGGGACACATGAGCATCAAAAGGCAGGTGAGAATGTGGGAAGGAGAAGCTATTGCCATTCTTTGGACTGGCTCTCATCCATCTTTGGAGGGTGGTGTCATCTTTCACTGAACCATAAACTGCTTTCAATCCACACTCTGCGTGTCTGGGGCTGTGTGCGGAGCATGTGTCGGCTCACTGCATTCCTTGGGCCATCTCCACTCCTTATCCAACCAACCCTGCAAACAGGTCAGGGAACAGGGCTGTATCAGCTCTGCTGGTGGCTGTGACTTCCCTCCGACATCTTCGCAGCATTTAGTAATGAGTGCAAAATATCTTGGGAACTCTGAAGCCCCGGAAAAATGCTGCTAACACTTATTATTACTACTTTTAAATTGATTTGAGAGAGAGAAATATCAACAGTTGGCTTCCTCCTGCATGTGCACCCCTACCTGCAAACTGTTGGTGTATGAGATGAAGCTCCAACCAACTGAGTCACCTGACCTGGCCAGGGCATTATTACTATTATTTTAACTAATTCTGGACATCAGAAAAATTGTGTCAGATGCTGTTGGTATCAGAACCCAAAGCTTCTTCTCATAAAGAGAAGGTGTCCCTGCACCGAAATTTTACCTTCCAAGCTGCCTTCACCCTTAGGGTTAGGAAGAGTTCTCAGGTTCAGACTTTTCATTCTCTAGGAAAGTATGTTACCAATAAGAAGACATTCATTCAAAAATTGGTCATTGAGACAGATATGGCAATGGGCCCTTGGATAGAATGATAAGCTAATCAGGGGTGGTTCCTGCCATCTTGGAGGTCACACTTTGGTGAGGAGGCAGTCACTAATCAAAGTACCACACTGATAAATATATTAGATACATTCTTTGAAGAAACAGCAGTCACTGCATGGAGAACATGGAGCACAGAACTGGGTTCTCCTGGGAGGAGGGAAGGTTCACTAGTTGAGTCGCAGTGGACTCAAGAAAACCAATTAGGAGTAAGATAAGGCTCTTCTGGACCAGGAGTGTGTGGCAATGGTGAGGAGTGAGTTCCTTTAAGAGATAATTAGGAGGTGAGACAGATGAGTTGGTGCTGAGTGGACAATGGGAGAGGAGAGGGAGATGCAAGGATCACGCTGAGACTGACTTTTGCAGTGGGTGAGTGGTGGTGCCAATGGCTGAGGATGGGAACATTTGGGGGCTCATTTGTGGTGGGAGAGGTATGGGTGGAGATGATGAGTTCAGCATCTGCTGTGTAGAGCTTGAGACTGTGTTGAGACATCCAAGTGAAGAGATTGAGTAAGCCCTTGGATATGAATGCTTAGTGCTCTGTAGAAGGTCTGCACCTAAAAATACCCCAAGGATGTTTGGGGGACAGCACTGCCATGCATAAAGTTGCCTACTGAGAGAGTCTACAACATTTTATCATCACCACATTAATGGTTTTAGTTATTAGTTATGCTGGGCCCAGAATTTCTGTGAATGAGAGCCTAAGGAGAAGAGAGAAATGGCCAATTTGTGTTTCTTTCTTTCTTTTTTTTTTTAATCCTCACCTGAAGACATTTTTCCATTTATGTTCAGACCAAGTGGGAGAAAAGAATGGAGAGAGAGAGTAACATCGATGTGAGAGAGACACATCGATTGGTTGCCTCCTGCATGATCCCAACCCGGGCCTGGGGCCGAACCACAGCCAAGGTAAGTGACCATGACTGGAATCGAACCTGCAACTCTTTGGTCCATGGGCCTACACTCTAACTGCTGAGCCTAACCCTCCAGGACCAATTTGTGTTTCTTAAGGGCCAGTCTGACTGCTGTGTGCTGAGTGGATTGGAGATGTGCCAGTGGAGCAGGGATACTGGTGGCACTATTTTGATGATCCAGGTGAGAGATGGGTGGCAGTTCTGAGAAGAGGATGGAGTTGGGTTATGTCTTGCAGGCGGGACTAATGAGATTTGCTGAAGAGCTGGATTGGGATGTGACAAAAAGATAGACATCAAGAATAATTTTTTTTGTCTGAATAACTGGGACTATGGTGTTACAGTGTACCAAGTGGGGGAGACTGGAGGAGCATTGGGCTTTGGGGAGGGGTGAGCCATGCTTGAGGTTCCTACTAGAACAGATGTCCCTCTCTCCCTCAAGTGCAGATGTCAAGGTTAGCTATCAGAATCTGTTGCTAAGAATGAAGCGTAAAGTCCTTGGGCATCTCAGGACACAGAGGATATCCGAGGGAAGAAGAGGGTGCCAAAAATTGGTACATAGAAGCTGAAGTCACCTTCATCTACTCTGCCTTCGGGACAGGGAGAGGACACTGGGTCGCAGGTTGCACTTCTCTCTCACTTCTTCCTGAATGCACACACACAATGATTCACTTAAACTGAGGTTGAAATAAATGCAAAGGAGACTCAGATGTTCCCATTAACCCTGTTGTTCGTTCTTCAGTCCTTTGTCCTTTTAAGGCATCTGAAGGGTGGGGGATTTAGTGAGGAGAGGACTGGCCTTGTCATTATTATCTGCGCAAGAGGGACTAAAAACTTCTTGCTAGAGCTCTGTGCCATGGCCCTGCCTCCTAAGTGCCCTTAGCTGCTAAAGGGGCTGTTTGATCTTTGGGAAATTCTGGAGCTGGTTAAGATGTAGTCCAAATGACTTTCTTTTCATGCCTTTAATGTGCTGCTTGTTGGCTGCCATGGCCACCAGCTTTGTCAAAGAGCCTTTTTGCCATTATCTTAAGAAATATTCTATTCTCTGTATGGACTACCACTCACCTACTCATATTGCCTTGACAACCTGTTGGATTCTGTCCAGAGACCTCTGGATTTTACCCACAGGACCCAGAGGGGGAGGGAGCGCTGGGAAAATGCACAGAGGAAGCCAGCACGTTCCCTAAGCTGCTTCTCTTGTGTTTTCATGGAGCTTAATGCACATGTTCTGTCTTGATCTCCTTCTGGATCAAGGGGTTTTCTGTACTGGGCACAGATGCAGTCACTTGTAAAACTGCCACCCAGATTTATTGTAAATCTCTTAACTCTCACAACCACCAAGATGCAGAGATGGCAGGAGTGGCCTGTGACCTCCCTGGTCAGCTGTTGGCCCGATTTTAATGGTTAGGTTCCTGGATGTCAGATTTATCTCTTGTTGTGATGTAACCTCTCCAGAGGCTCTGCTGCATTGACTGTCTTGCAGGGAGCCAAGCTGGGCTTGTTGTATATTACACAAAAATATACTAGAATGTGTTTGTTCCCAGTAAATAGTTGACAATTTCCAGTTTCATAACCTTGCCAGGGGGATGAGCAGAGATTCTATGTCTCTCCTCCATTAACAAAAATGAAATGACAGCCATGAGACCGGCACTTACAGCCTACAGGAGTCTTATGTGTCTGGGGCAGGTGCCCATTGCTCAGGTGTGGTTGGTGCAGGTCATCTGGGGCCCACCTGGAGTGCAGGTGTCAAGGTTAGGCACTGGTCACTCTAGGACCTGAGGAGTCTGCAGCTGAGTCTCGGGCTGAGTGGTCTCAGATTGCCTCTGGATGGAGCCCCCTCTCTGTCTTTGGGTCTGCATGTGGGTGTCCAGCAGCCCAAGGCCACTGAAGGTGGGGAGAGTGAGTCACTAGCTTTGCTCTTGGCCCAGGTGTCCGGAGCCCTGTGCAGCTTCCAGGCTGAGGGTTGTTATGCATACATCAGGGTGAGATGGGGCATTTCTGCCCTTTTCCAGTTTTGATCTAAATGCAATTTCCCAGTCACTTGACTATTTATAACCATTTTTTTGGGAGGGAAACAAATTCAGGCATTTCACTCCTTCCCCTCCCATTCCTTTTTCCTTTCTTCCTCCTTTTCCTCCTCCTCCTTCTGTAGAATCATTTATCTCATTCTCTGACCACTTATTCATCTATAGAATTTTTGGAATAAGGTCTGTGGTATTTAGATCACCATGAAGCTGGGCAATATGAATCAAATCAAATCAGTGTTGACTTCTGCTTTATATTTTGGAAACTTTGTTCCTGTAGTCTTCCCTCTAGTCGATTTGAGACCACTGTGCTATCTTTAATTTGCAAGTCCCCTACTTCAGCATGGCTTCACTGATTGAGTACCCTATGGCCTAACTTTCCTCCTGAGAAGACTTTCCCTAAAGGTCATTAACACAATGTTACCAAAAGTCATTTTAGAAATCACATTTATTTCCATTACTATAAATCTTTATTTTTATTCCCACTAGAACTTCCTGGAAATCTTTTATGACCTGCTTCAAATTCGATTCGATAATATTGAACATATTTTTCAAAGGGCCTCAGAATGACAGGGCCAAAGCCTTGTTAGGTTATTGTTGTCGCTAAAGTACCTGCCCGACCCAACAAAATTATTATTTTTTGCATTATGTTCATTTACTTTCTGGATTAATTTCATGGTAGAAGAAACTGACTGCTGATTTCTTCTGGGAAACACATAAGGAGTCCAGATTTTAATATATTCTTTCACTCTGCCAAAAAACTTCATGAAGTCCCAGCTTTGTGAGTATATATAACCCAGATCTGGGAATTCATTTGTGGAGCAGTCTAAATTCAACCCATTAGCACAAACTTTAAAGTCCCTGTACATGCAGAACTCCCATTGAGTTTAAATTAATTAATAAACAGTTGCATCTTTATGTTTTAAAGGACTGTCGGTTTCAGAAGGTGCATGATTTGTCTGTAATTTCTAAGACAGTGATGAATGGCTACTTATAACAAAAAGGTTTGCATCAATCATAAATTTCTTGCCTATATAGCTTTCAGTTATGAGTGAAAATAGATACTAATATACCCACCAGGCAGACAGATGACCCAATCCTTGTAACAGCGAAAGAAATGACAATTTAGCTGACAGAGGCTACAGGCAGCAATTAAACTGGTCACTGGGTGGCCTAATTCTTTAATAAAGAGCCCAAAGTCCAGCGCAGGGCCTGCTCAGCTGGGAGCATTCCCAGCGAATCTCTTGGGACATTCTGCCCAACTAGTTTAGGGAGGCCCCTTCTTCTGAGCATACTGATCCTGTCCAACCTTAATCATTGTGTGGCATGTGTCTATGTCGTTGGTTTTGACATAAACTAATCCTGCATTGTTTTCTCATTCACTAAATAATAATAATAATAATAATAATAATAATGATAGTAATAATAATAATAATAGAAAAATTACAACAGGAAGTACTGGAGACTCCATTTCCCACCGCCCATGGGGCCGGGTGTCACATGCGACTTAGCTGGTGTTGATGGGAAGTGGGTGAAAGTGATTCTTGAACCTCCGAGTTATGTCCTGAACTCTAAAGACCAACATCATATGTCCCAGACTCCCTCCTGTCTCCACTGATTGGAATGCAGCTGGTGAAGCCACAAGATGGAATGAACCTGGGTTCCTACATGAGCTCGTGGAGCAGAGTGGTTCTGCCTACCCAGGACTGAACACAGTGTGACTGGTTAATGAAAAACTTTATAAAGGCACTGCATTTTAAGGTGAGAACTTATTAACATATGCATGAATGACCACTCTGTATCAGTTCCTAAGGCCTTGTAACAAAGTACCACAAACTGGGTTTCTTAAACAAACAGAAACTCATTATTTCATTGGTCTGGAGGCTAAAAGCCTGAAATCAAGGTATCAGCATTGCTGTGATCTTCTGAAAACTGTAGGGGAATCTCCCATGCCTCTTTACAGCTTCTGGTGGTCTGCTGGCAATCTCTGGCATTCCTTGGCTTGAGCTGCATCACCAAATCTTCCATCTTTACATGGTGTGCCTTTGCATCATCTGTCCTCTGTACATGTCTGTCTCTTTGTGTAAATTCCCCTGTTATATTGGTTTGGATCCCACCCTAACGACTTCATCTTAACTTGATTATCTCTGTAAAGATAAGGTTACTTTTTGAGATACTGAAAGTTGGGACTTCAACATACTTTTTTGGGAGACACAATTCAACCCATAACACACCAGTGTTTGTTGAGGGCTTATTGTGCTCCAAGCGTTTTTTCAAGCATCTACACAAATTACTTTATTTAATTATCACAGTAACTTTATGAAGGAAGTGCTGTTGCTTGGGCTTCACAGAATGATGAAGCAGGTGTGTGGAAATAGGAGAGAACAGGTTACAGGCCACACAGAGGCTAAGGGTGAGCTGGGTATATGCAGAAGTCTGAATCTAGACCCTCCGCTTGTGTCTTTTTCATTTCCCAAAAAGGAGCCTTGGTTATTGGGAAGAAGAGGAACAATGGATGAGTCCACCACTGGGAATCTTAGCCCCACCAAACACTCCCCGGATGACTTCAAATCTGGGACTCTTTTGATCCAGGAGGTCAAAGGGAGATTCCAATATCAGGATGACAACATAGGTGGGTGGAGCAAGAGTTCATGGATCAGTGTTTTGGGAGCCCACGGCAGGGCACAGCGAAGTTGTTGGTCTTCAGAGGCTGCTGTTTCCTGTGGCTATGGGATTTCCTTTGTGAGTGTTGGACTCTTCTGTGAAATTCTGGTCCCTCCTTGTGGCTGCCTTGGTTTCTCTGGGAACTTTGTTTTGTGTTTTTGAATAACATCCATGAATTACTAAAGGGCCAGATTTCAGCTTCAGTGTGGGAATCCAGGCTCTTCTATGTTGGTCATGAAGCTATTTATTTGGGGGTGAGTTTACTATATGAGGCATAGTGCAGGGTATGGCCACAGAGTTCTGTTGGAACTGGATAACGGAGAGCCAATATGACGATGGGCAACTATGTCATTTTGGGCAAGATTCTGACCCCAGGTTCTTGAAGTTACTTGGTATATTAGAGATACTTAAGAGTCAAGCTATCCCCCCCAAAATCCACTGTAATTGACATCTACTGATTAAAGTCCAAGGAAAACATTTGTCCCAGTCCAGTCTTGTTTAGACTGATGATATTCTACCATATTCTTAGACCCGAGAGCTAGCCTTAAATTTTCCACTGCCCCTACACATCCCCCACCTCCTTCCAGCCAATAGGCTTTGGAAAGCAATTCCAATGACAAATGACATCAGATCTAAATCAGAATCGGAGGAAAGCAGCTTCCTTATAATCAATCACTCCAGTTCACTGCTTTATGAGCCTACTGGCAAAAAATAGATTCAGACCATGTAAGAAGATGGCCAGGCCAATGAGTTAGGATGACCTGTGAGTTCCTCACTCAGCATGTAGCAGTCTGGGCTCTGGGAACAGCCAGCACCTGTGGTGTGACTGGGAGTTCCTAGGGCTTCTGGGAGGCGCTGTTTGTGGCTAGGAGTTTCTGACTGACATTTCTCATTTACAAGGTGACCCCTGAGCACAGAACCTTTTAATTAGCCCACAGATACAGTGCGTTTTGTGTGGGTGACTGTCGGTTTCTTTGCCTTCTGAGGCCCTCTGTTGCCATGGCAACACTCTCCTAACAATGGCTTAGGCGTTAGTGGGGAGAGAATCAGAGAGGCAGGCAGCCCTGCCAGCTCCCAGCCAGAGAGTAAATATTCATGATAAGACCCCGAGGTTAGAAACTGCATTGTCAATGGGTTTGTTATTTACAGTCAGCATCACCCTGCTCGGGGTAGAGAAAAGAAGCTTGTTTATCTTTAGGATAAAACAGGGAAGCTAAAGTACCAAACTCTAGAAAATTCCCTGGGAAGTGTGAGCACTCCTCACTGTTGAGTGTTGACTTCATTAATGTCTTTCCATGACTTCAATCTTTCCATAGAAGTAGAAGGAATATAGGATATCTTTATTAACAGGTGATATTACCATAATATTTCCTTGCCCAATCCACTTGTTTAACAATACTGGGTCACAAGGAACTGTGATGAAAACCCAAGACCAGTCAATGTGTAATTAAAAGTCTTCTGAGTAGCTTCAGCACCCCTGGTCTTGTGAACACGCTTATACCTTCCCGTGACGCACGTTGAGATGAGCCAACCTGAGGGCATGTGTATGACAAGGATGCCCACCCTTTTGAGACACTGCTGACACCCATTCTTCTAGAGAGTTTCACAAGGGAAGAAATGGGCGCTGGCTACAGGCAACTTTGAGTAAAACCTGAACGTGGCCTTGAGCACTTTGTCCCAGGAACTTGACCCCAGAAGTCTGAGGTCCCAGGAGCCAGCAAGATGGTTGCTAAAGATACCACCTCTTTTTGGTACTCAGCTTTTATCTCTTTCTTTTTACCCGTTTGACTGGGTCTGAGATGTGTCCTCTTCAGGGTCCTGTGTGTTCACCTGGTGGTTAGGTTTCTATAGAACAACAGTGCTCCGGTTTTTGTACCTTTCCTCCTCTTCTTGTCTCTCAGTCTCGATTGCCCGGATTCCCATCAAATGAGATTGATCCCATTGCTGGTTGGCAGGGCTGGGCTGGTGCCAACACAGTATAGTCTGGGTCAGAGGGTGAGAAGCAGTGCTCATTCCCCCCCAGTGATTTAGTCCTACAGGGGAACCATAGATTGGCAATTGCATTTTTAGATCATTGTAGGAAAGTCATTCCATCATAATGGTGCTGTTTTGAGATAACGGGAAGGTCTGCCACATTGGTACATACAAAATATTTCATTAAGTGTTAAATAACTATTGCAACTGTGTTACCTGCAGTTTACTTGATTATTTAATTCAGCCTGTTGAGAGATTAATTGCTGTTTAATCAGTGCTGCCATTTAGAGGACAGGCATAATCACCGAGGTTCTGTGCTGGTGACGACACAGTATTGTTCTCTCTCAGTCTGACGCGGTCTAACAGCTGGAGGCTGCGTTCCCTTCAGCACGTTGAATCCTCTAAATTCAGACAGATGTGGGCTGGCTGTCAGCAGGGGGCCCGACACCTGCAGGGGCCATTCTCACTGTGCATTTGCAGGTCACAGGGACATAGCCAGTCTCATTGCCATCTCTACTAGTATGTTGGGATGTAAGGAGCGGGAGCACCTTTGACAGTGAATGTCACAGTCAAAGCTCCCAGTTGGTCAAGACCACAGAATGTAGAAAGCCAAAGACATATTTTAAAATTTCCAGTGGGTCAGTATTGCTTGAAGGGAAGAGTTGATACATTTTAAAACTTCTGTTCTATGAAATATTACTGTCAAGAAAATGAGAAGACAAGCCGCACTTGATAAAAGACAACTATCTAAAATATACAAATAACTTTATTTTCAAAATTGACAAAGAACTCTTAAAATTCAACAATAAGAAAATGAACACCTGGATTAAGAAATGGACAAAAGACCTGAACAGACACCTCACCAAAGAAGATACACAGATGCCTAACAAGTATGTGAAATGATGCCCCACATCATATGTTATCAGGAAAATGCAAACCGAAAGCACAATGAGGTATCACTACAACCTGTTAAGAAGGCCCAAAATCCAGAACACTGACAACATCAAATATTGAAACCAACAAAGAATTTGAAAATTCGTGTTCACACAAAAACGTGTACACAAATGTTTATAGCAGTTTTATTCATAACAGTCAGAAGTTGGAAGCAACCATGATGTCCTTCAGTAGGTGACCAATAAATAGACTATGGTCTATCTAGACAATGGGATATTACTCAGCACTAAAAAGAAATGAGCTATCATGCCATGAAACATGCAGGAAACTTCAATACATATTACTAAGTAAGAGAAGCCAATTTTAAAGGGTTGCATACTATATAATTCTAACTATATGACATTGTGGAAACGGTAAAACTATGAAGGCAGTAAGATCAGTGGTTTCCAGGGTTTGGTGTGGGGAGAAATGAACAAGCTGAGCACAGATTTTTTGGAGGAGTGAAACTACTCTGCATGGCACTGTAGTGGTGGATACATGTCATTTCACATTCTTCCAGACCCATAGAAGGTACAGTATCATGAGTGAAGCCTAATGTAAACTATGAACTCTGGGTGATAATGATGAGTTGTTGGAGCTTCATTATTGTAATAAATGTGCCCTCTGGTAGGAGATGTTGATAGTGGGGGAAGCTGTGCATGTGTGAGGGCAGGGGCTATATGGGAAATCTCTGTACTTTCCACACATTTTTTTCCTGTGAACCTAAAACTGCTCTTAAAAACAAAGTTGATTAATTAAAAAGATAATGTATAGAGAAAAAGCACCCAGTGGAACACAATGACAATAGACATTTCAAGATTACTGGAGAACCATCCCCCTTTAATCGTGCACAGCTGCCAATCTGCGACTCTGCAGACAGATGACCAAAGCCTTGAATAACTGTGTAAGATGGAGGTACACACAGGTGAAGACTGAACTGGGAAGCCAGCTTTTTATCTTCCTGGGAGGCTGCTGGAAAAATGAGAGTGCTGGTGGTCAGACCATGACAGACTGTTTAAGTGTTCTTGGGTTCTGTTGGTCAGCAGGATTTTCGGGAAAGATTGCTGTGAAACCTCAAGCTCTGAGAAAGGAGTGCATCTGGGATGTCTTTCCTCGCGGTATTGAACGCTTTATCCTGCGACTGGTGTGAGTGGCTGATGATAAACCAAGT